ACACCCACTAGAAACGCTACTTGAAAAATGGAAGATTTGTTGGCCAGGATATGGAGACACTGCAACCCTGGTGCCCTGGTGTAGGAACATGAAAGGGTGCAGCCACCGTGGAGGGCTTAGCAGTGACCCAGTGCTCACTTTGCAGCCTTAAGGCTCTGGGTTTCATCCCCATCATCGTGATCTACACCTCCACGTGGTTCTGGTGGATACACAAACAAGCTGGGAGTTGCATTACTGCCAACAGTCAGAGGTGGAGGCAGCAGATGCATGCACTGGTGGCGAATAAACAAAACAAAATACGATCTATCCATACAGTGAGATACTCAGTCCTGAAAGGGAAGGAAATGGCCTAGGCTAAAACATCTTGAGGATTATCCTAAACCAAACAAGTCAGACACAAAAGGTCAAATTCTGTATGCAACTGATTATATGAGGTCCCTCAGCACTTGGATCCCTAGAGACAGAAAGCTGAGTAGCAGGTTTCAGGGCTGGGGGACAGAAAGAAGGAAATGTGGTTTACAGAACAATTTCTGTTCTGCCAGCAGAACTTGCCCTGGAGATGCAGTGGTGGTGCTGCACAACAATCTGAATGCATTTAACAGTATATGAACCACAGACTACGAATGGTTAAGATGGCAGATTTTGTTGTATTTTTATTTTTTTATGTGTATGAGTATATTGCCTGCATGTATGAAAGTGCACCTGTGTCATGCAATGCTCACGACGGTCAAAAGAGGGCATCACATCCCCTGGAACTGGAGTTATAGATGGTTGTTAGCAGCCATGTGGGTGCTGGGAATTGAACCCAGGTTCTCTGCAAGAGCAGCCAGTGCTCTTAACCACTGAGCCATCTCTCCAACTCTTGCCAATTTTTTGATCCTCACCAAGGTCATTCCTGTGCCAGGAACCTTACACTAGCTGTCCCTTCTGACTGAAATACTCATCACCCAAATCTTGGTTTGACTGGCTCATTCTTCACCTTTAAAACTCCCCTTCCATTTTGTTAAAGGCGTGCGCTACCACACCCGGCCTGAAAAAATTTTTTAAAGGGAGAGAGAGGATAAGGGTAGAGCACAGAGGCATATATGAGGCCTGGTCTCACCACCAATCAATCTCTCTCTCTCCTCTCTCCTCTCCTCTCTTCTCTCTCTCTCTCTCTCTCTCTCTCTCTCTCTCCCTCTCTTTCTCTCTCTCTCTCTCTCTCTCTCTCTCACACACACACACACCCAGATGCTTATTCACAGAGGGTTACATCAAAAACCTGCACTATGACAGTTCAAAGGAAAGGCTACTTTGTACTTTTTGTCCCAATTGAACAGAGATGTGAGTAATAACAACAAGCCATAAACAAAGTGCATCAGTCAGACTTCTGACACTGTGACAAATAAATGAAACCAACCAAAACCCAAAGAGAGGGAAGGTTTACTTTGGCTTATCCTTTCAGAGGTTTCAGTTGGAGGACCACTGCTTTGAGCCAAGGCATGGCCAAGTATCATGGCTGCAGAAGTGCTCATCATGCAAAGTGGCTCACCTTGTGGGTGAAGCACAGCAGGAAGGAGCCAGGGAGCAGGTGGTGTTTCGGAGCTAACCTCAAGTGACCACTTCCTCCAAGCAGGCTGACCTTCCATAATTCTACCACCTCCCGGTACTCTAAGTGGTGAACCTGTCAGTGGAGGACAGGGTCTATTCACGAGGCTGTGCCCTAGTGGTCCAATCACTTCCCAAAGGCCTCCCTCTTGAATGCTGCTGCACTGAAGACAAGCCTCAAAGAACTTCTGCAACAGCTACTCTTGTCCAAACCCCAACAGTGTCAATTCTTTTAAAATGCTGACAAACTACATTTCCAGTATCTTTTGTAGTTAACAGTCACAAATATCAATGTGTTCACTTAGAACTGATAGTTGCAGTCAGCCAACTTCTGAAGAGTTTTCAAATCAAGAGGTAAATCACAAACCATAAAATGCCCTGATTTTTAGTATGTTTACAATGCTGTGAAACCATCACTGTAGTTCGGAACATTCCTGCACCTCAAGAAGGAAACTCTACACTCACTGGCTATCAGCTCCCACCCTCAGTCTGGGCAGTGAGTGTGCAGTCTGTCTCTGTGGCCTTTCTAAGAACAGTCTGATGGCCTCACGGCTCATGCACGCTGTGTGGTGCTCCGCTCCTTCCATGACTGACACATCACTGTAAGGACACTGCACTTGTCCCCTCTGTAGTTTCTCCACATCCAGGCTGTTTCCCTTCTGCTGCTATGAACATTAATGCACACGTTTTTGAGAGCTTGTTCGGCGGGTCCAGCAGGGGAGTGTGGCTACCTGTACACCCCTGACTGAAGACTGGTTGTCCTCTTCAACTGAGCGGGCAGCTTCAGGAGGGACAAACATGGAGGGGTGCGGGAGGAAGGGGACACTCACCTAGCACGCCAGGTCAGCTGAATCGACCCTGGCAATCAATGGGGTGACAGATGTCACAGCCAGCTCACCCTCACATCCACATACAAGCTTTTGTGTGGACACATTTTAATTTCTCTTTGACAAACACCTAGGGGTGAGATACCTGGACCATGGCAACTCTATTCTTTACTTTTTTGTTGTTTTTTTTGAGTTTTTTTTTTTTTTTTTGTAGCCCCAGATGACCCGGAACTCACAGAGATCCGCCTGCCTCTGCCTCCCAAGTGCTGGGACTGCAGGCGTGCACCACCATGCCTGGCCATGTTATGCTGCTTGTTTTTTTTGAGACAGTCTTACTATTTAGCCCTGGCTGGCCTGGAACTTGCTATGTGAACCAGGCTGGCCACCTCTGCCTCCCAAGTGCTGGGATTAAAGGTATGCACACATCTGGCTATTCTTTGCTTTTTGAGGAACTGCCACATTGTTTTCCTAAATACTCCCACCATTTCTACAGTGTGTGAAAGTTCCAACATGCCCACATCTTTGCCAATATGGCAAGTTTTGCTTTATTTTTAAAGTAATTTGTTACTGAAGCGATCTTGAAAAAATAAAAATAAAAAAAGATAGGGTCTTATGCCAGGCATGGTGGTGTGTGCCTTTAATCCCAGCCTTTGGGAGGCAGGGGCAAGTGGATCTCAGTGACACTGAGGCCACCCTGGTTCACATGGTGACTTCCAGGTGGGCTGTGACTAGGGAGACCCTGTCAAAAAACAATCACAAAACAAAACAAAACAAAACAAAAAGAGACAGGATCTCATTATGTAACTCACAGAGATCTGCCTGCCTTTGCCTTCCAAGAGCTGGGATTAAAGACACCATGCCTGGCTAAAAATTTATTTTATGTGTGTACATATGTGTCTGTGTGTATGTGGACTGAGTGCTGGTGCTCATGGAGGCCCAAGAACGTTGGATCCTCCAGAGCCAGAGTTACAGGTGGTTGTGATCCATCTGGCATGGGTAATGGGAGCCAAACTCAGGTCCTCTGGAAGGGCAGTATGTGCTCTTAACAGCTGAGCCATCTCTCCAGCACTACCGAAGGGATCTTAAAGCAATTCACCTCAACTCAACACACCAAGCTTATAAGCTGCAGGCAAGTAAAAACATTTACATCCACAAACATTTCTTAACTCCGACAAAGACATCTCAGAGAACTGTAAGAATCAATCATTTCCTTTCCTATTCATACGTCATAGAATAAACAGGATGGGGGGTGGGGGAATGGAAGCATTAATTTAAAACACTCTTGAAATGCTCACCTAAGCTGCTTCCCACTTCTTAAGAAGAAACCTGCAGAAACCTCTCCATGGCTTCATTCACAGAAACCCAAACACAGCTTAGTCAACAGGGTTACAGCTCCCGTCCCTGTGCATGCAGATGATTCCCAGGAGCTGGTTTGCACGTCCAGCACCCCCGCCACTTCATCTGTTCTGTGCTGATAAATTCTGACAACAGAGTCAGGGTGTAATCTCTGGCTCTGGCTCGAGACTCCATGCTGGTGCTGTTGCTGCTTCCTACAGTGGGAACTGCTGGCCGGTCCCAACCAGCTGGGGACCTTCTGAGCTGCTAAGGTCCAGAGCACTGTGTAGCACAGTCTGCAAGCAGCATTAACGCAAACCAATTGCAGATACATACGTGTATGAAGGTTCCTGCTGCTGCAATCTAGAAACACGAGGTGGACTGATGTCATTTACTCCACATCATTACAGCAAAGGGTCTTCTGCCTTCGCTTGCATTTTAGGAACTACTGGTACTTGATTATTATTATTATTATATACATATAATTTTTTTTTTTTAGTTTTTTGAGGAAGGGTTTCCCTGTAGCCCCAGTGTGCCTGGAAATCACTATGTAGACCAGGCTGGCCTTGAACTCACAGAACTCAGCTGGCCTCTGCCTCCTGCTGCTGAGATTAAAAGGTGTGCGCCACCATGCCCGGCTTACTGGTACTTGAAACACAGTTTCTGAAGAAGAGGTAGCACAGTCTTGCATTCAGAGTGGTTGTAGCAATGTCACGTGAAGGTCTTGCCATAGCACATAGGTGTTTGGGTTCAGGCCCACATACCATGCAGGCCCCCATTGGTCAACTGCACAATGGGGGCCCATCACACATGTGTGACTTAGATGGGCCAACTGTTTTCACTTGGCAGAAATAAGCATGCCAAGAAAGAACATGGACCCAGAGAAGTGAGCCTGAGGGGGTTCTCATGGACATCCCCATCATCAAGGTACCTTTTGGCCTGAGGGACAGGGCTGTTCATGGGCCACTCTTGGGCTCAGCCTTCCCCATGTATGTATAAGGCAGGATTCCACTGCTAACTGTGAAGTTCCTGCCCCTCAAGTACACTGCCATGGCCTCAGCCTGCACCTCCTTCCCTGCACCTCCTTCCCCAGCTCTCAGGACACTAAGAAGAAAGGCCACAGCACCTCTGCCCCTCAAGCCCCTCCCTGTTGGCGTCCCAGCTGTGCTCTGGATCCAGGAGAAAGAAGTCTGGCCTCTGGCGCAGGGGACTTTAAGGCACAACAGAGAGTGAACACAGGATATTTTGTACCTTTAACCTGGCCTCTGAGTGGTATGGAATTTGGTATTGGTGGAAGAAGAGTGGATAATGGTGTCACAACATCTGGAAAAGAAGTACAGGAAGCTCTTGTGAACTTTAGACTGCACACACAGGCTGGCCAGCGAGCAAAGTCATCTAAGGGCAAGAGAAAATACCTTCCTATCTGTCCAAGGAGAACACTCAACAAGAAACATGCCCAAACCACTGCTGCACATCCAGGCAACCCTTTGGGCTAGAAACTCTCACTGCCATTTCCAAATCCCCCATGGCTTTACAAGGCAAAGCCAGAACACCACCATGCTAAAGGGTTATAGCACTCGCAACATGTGGTCAGTTGAGATTGTCAGGTGAGACTGTCAACTGCCCCTGTTGAAGTCACTTAAGTCGCAGTGCTCCTCTGCAGGAGTGGCCCTCAGATGCTCTCCCTTGTCCTTTCCAAGTCCATCCCAAATAAAGGACCTACTTCTGATACATTGTGCAGAAAGTGGTCCTCTCTTTCAGAGGTGGGACGTGCTAACTTTGGAACGTTTGGCCTTACAGAAAGGCCCACTAGGAAAAGAACTGCCACTGTCTGTTGCAGCCTTGGGTCTGTTGTAAGCAGTGGGCCTGAAACCAGCTGTGTGGAAAACACCATGCGGTTCCCCTCCAAGGCCGTCTTCAAAGTGAGGACAGGACTAATAAAAGGGTCTATTGTTCACCACCAATACCATCACCACCACCACCACCACCACTAACTCCTGCAATCTGGCCCCATGAAAGGCCTCACTGACATCAACAGTGGTGCCTGGTGAGGCTGAACTAACACCATGGCCCCAGGCAGGACACACTGAGAGCTGCATGAAGGCCTGAGGCAGACAATTACCTTTCATGAAGAATCGACAGGTGGGGCGAGGCCTCACCTTCCGGTCACTGGGGTCCTTCACTTCACCTTCTTCCAAGTCATCATCCTGGAACAGAGGGAGATCGTCTGAAGGTGAGTGGATCTGCCTTGCCCCCCACACCGGACCTCGCCAGCCTATGTTCATGGTCCCAGCTGTACATGGATGGTTGTGAGCTCACCTAAAGCTCAAGAGACACTCAGAAGAACACTATGAAAACTCTGGGCCTGACAGAAAGCTTCATGGAGCAGTTTCTGTCTATGTCTACCAACGACTTTGAGCAGGGAATGGATATATTTTGGTTTTCGATAATTTGTACATTAACAAAAAATATATAAAAGTACTTTACAATTAACACTGATTTCCTCTCAAGGGGGAAGTGAGGTAACCCTGATGAGCAACGCTACCCTGTGGCTCATTTTTCAGCTCCTATCCAGTTCAGAGTGATCCAGACACTTAACATAGAACAGAGCCAAGTCGCACCCCCAGGATTCTCACAGGCAGCCAGGACCTGACCACTGCTCTGGTCCCTCTCCAGTCATCCCTGCCCAAGGCCTCTCAGCTGAGACCCCTTCATTGTCAGGCCACCCCGACTCCACAGGGGTGGTGCTCTCAGGAAAGTCCTGGCACCCAGAGGAAGAATGAGTAAACATGGCTCCTGCCTTCCCAAAGAAACGGTAGGGTCCAGTTAACCGACGGCCCACTTACCCCATAATGAGACAAAAGCAGAACAAGATGGTAAGACAGGACTTGACTTGGTGACATCAAGTCAAAGATCCATGAGGACAAAGCTGCCAGGAGCAGCTTGTTGGGGAGACTAGCCAGGGGGTTGTCTCTGGGAAGACAAAGGAGCTTTGTAGAAGGGAGGGATCAGGCAGGATCCCCTGGCTTTCCTGAGGTGGCAGCGGTGAGGCCATCTTGCATCTCCATCTCTGTATAACCTTTGCTCACTAAAAGGTCAGTTGCCAGGGACACCCTTGCTGCCACAGGTGCCCTATACAACAGGCCCAGTCCAAAATTCCCTCCATTCTGAACAAATAGGCAGGGGCACTGCCTGTGAGGTGTTCACCCCTGCAGGGAGTCTGGGAGCACACCAGGAACACGGACAGGGAATTCAAGTCTCAGGCAGACATTCTGACAAAAGAATTTCAAGGTTTAGTGTATAAATTTATGCCTGACTCTAGGAAACAGGGGGACAAAAATTAACCCGCCTATTCCAGAGTCCCAAAATCTAAATGGGAACAAAGTGATGTACTCAAAAAAGAGAAGAGCTTCAGCTCTCAGAGGCAGGCGGATCTCTGTGAGTTCAAGGCCTGGTCACATAGCGAGTTCCAGGTCAGCTGGGTCTATACAGAAGCCCAGTCTCAAAAAGACCAAAAAAAAAAAGCAAAACCAAAAAGACAAGAGCTAAGTTGAAAGATGATCCATCAAAGGCTCTCCAGGAAGACCATGGGCAGCAGGGAACTATGAACAGAGGAGCTCTTCCACAAACGGGGAGGAAAGTCCTGCTGGGAGCAAACTTGCTATAGTGTCACTAATGTCTGCTTTTTCAGGGAGGTGAAGAGAGTCTGTGTAGCCCAGGCTGACCTGGAACTCACAACCTTCCCGCCTGAGTCTTCCCACTGCTGGGATTACAGGCACAAGCCACCATGCCTGGCCCATTTCCTCCTTCAAGTAATATCTAGGTATTTACCTGAATCAAAGCTCGGCTTGAAAGCAATGGGGACGTGCCTTTGGGGACATCCACTTGCCACTAATGGTAAAAGCCATTTTCCAGGGAGTTAAAGTAATGGGGCGACTTGGAAAGTCTCACAGACCATGTGTACCCTTCAGTCTCCTTCTGTATCTTCTGGCAGAAGTACCAGCAGGGGGCTCTATGCGAGGGCTTAGAAGGACATAGGCCATGTGCTTCGGGAGATGGAGCAGAGATCCCACAGGGGTGACTGGCTTGGACCTGGGCTAGTGAGTTGATGTTCTCCACATAAACTGACCCGCTCTGTGCCAGGCGCAGAGGGCTCCACTCTCAGTGTACATCTGTTGCCTGCTCCCACTTTACCTCTCAAATGCTCTCAACTCTAAGTGCTCCAAACAAAGCTAGTGAGATTTATCCATTTGCTCAGCAGTCTAGTGAGCTACTGGGCCCTGGGGACACAAATGAACCAAATAGGGTTTGGCCTAGGAGACCATGTTCCTGAGGATGGGGGCCTGGTGAAGCAACAATCAGCTGAGACTGTGTTAAAAACAATGCAGGTGTGAAGGAAGAATCAGTGCAGGCCCACGAGCCTACACACACAGAGGAGGCGACAAAGGCCAACATGCAAAAGCTGTGGTGGATGGGGAGGAATCAGACAGAGGCAAGCAGAACTCCCAAGGAAGTGACTGCTGGCCTGGAAACAGTGTGTCCTCCTGGGCCAAATCTACCTCTCACATGCCCACCTGCCCTACACCATCCCAGCAGAGCAGGTAGAACAAAAACATGTTAGAAAATCAATCAGCAGATTCACTCCATACACTGTTTCCAGGGAAACCACAAGCCAGAATCATTGGTACTGTCCAGGGGAGGCTTGGCTCAATTCATCACCCCTCTGTTCACATCACAGTACCATGTGAGCTACCAGTGCCCCCAATGCCAAGGCCCTCATGATCTCCAGGGAGACTCCCAATACTTTCTGAACTTCTTCAATAGTGGGACCAGGAAGGGTGTGCAGTAGGTCCTCCTACCTGCAAAAGGGGTGCCTGACACCAGGCACACACGCTAGAACAAAACCGACAGCAAGCGCAGTCAGTAACCCCAACTTGAGCATCGCAGGACCTTTTCCTTTGCCAACTCTGGGATAAAGATAAATTTCCTCCTAGTATAAGCATAGATGGCAAAACACAAGAAAACCTGCACAGCAAAGTCCTTTGTGGGGGTGGGACCATAACTCAGGAAACTACTTACTACACAGTTGGGAGGTAAAAGATCTGAAATTGTATGCTTACAGCCACACATGACCCCACAGTTCTCCTTTGCTACTGGGTCCCAAAGCCAGGCAAGTGACATCTATGCCCTATTAATTACCTCGTATTGGCCAGAACCATTGTCCATCTGTGATGTCTTAACATGAACTGGGTGCAGCTGGTCATGGTGGCGCAAGCACTCAGAGGCAGGCAGATCTTTGTGAGTTTGAGGCCAGCCTGGTCTATCTAGTCCTAGTGAGTTCCAGGATAACTGGGGAACAGGGAGACCCTGTCTCAAAAAGACTAAAAAGAGGACGGGGTGCCCAGGAACCAGTATGAGTGGTACGTGTGGGACTCTGGGATCACATCTGGATAGGGCCCTCCCTCCAGCCCACTGCATCTCTGTGAACATGGTAAAGTCAAGGGCTCCTAGTACCCAGGGCCCCTAAGAACATGGACCCACCAGGGTATTGTGAGATACGCAACCTATCTTCCGTCAGGATGACTCAGATGGGCAGTCTCTTTCCCAGGCACCTGAAAACCCCAGATGGTTTATCCACTTTGAATTCATCTGTTCTGAACTTTGGGCTGAGTCCTCTGAAACCTCCTGATTCAAGTTCTTCCTACAGAATCATCTGCCATGAAAACCTGACTCTCCATACCTGTGATTTTATGTGAAGGGAGATTTAAGGAAACCATATGAGGTAGGGCTTGGTGAGGGCTTGTCAGGCTGCTGGCTACTGACAGGTTTTCTGTATGGGCCTATTTTCCATTTTCTACATTGAGCACATCCTTGCTGTCCCAACACAAGCTCTTATTTCTCCATATGCTTGGCCCACTACTAATAGGGAGCCTGAAAGCCCTGTTGAGAGTGCTTCTCCTGAACCAGCCTCACCGGTTCTGCCATACTCACATCTATCTCCCCATCATCGATCTCCCCATCGTCATCTTCTTTCTTCTTCTCCTTGGCAGCCTCTGTGGGCTCTTTTTCTCCCACACTTTGAACATCAGGTTTCCCTTCCTCTCCAGGAACACCTTCCCCTTTCTCCTCCTCTTCCTCAGCCCCAGCCTTCTCAGTCTCCTCCTCCTGGGTGGCAGGAGTAGGTTCCTCGGGGACCTCCTCATCATAGTCTAGCTCATGCTCATCCAGTTCCCGGGTCACTGAGGAGGCTTCGTCCCTGAGGTCACTGGTCTGGTCTTCTTCACCATCATCCCCCTCCTCACATGGGGAACTTGTCGGGCCCCTGCTCAGCTCATGAGCCTCTGAGTCCTGATCCTGGGACTTGGGCTCACTGGCTCGGTCCTCCTCATCTGAGTGAGTCTCCTCCTGGCTTGGTACCCCAGTTGCATTTTCCTCATCCTCCAAATCCGAAGACCTCCCCCCAGGTCCATCCAAATCCTGATCGGATCCACTTTCCCTCAGAATGTCATCATCTGAGAGTGCTGGCTGCGCTTCATCCTCTGGGGAGCGAGGATCCTGTTCAGGGCTCTCAGCCACATCCATCGGGACCCACAGTTCTGCAAAAGAAAAACAGCAAAGACTCAGCATGCGTCCATTCTCTTGGCCCACATGCCCTCTTCCCTGAGGAGGAAGTAGGACATGCTCTCTGTTGTCCTGAACAATCCCTCCCAAATCTACACACCTTTGTGGAGAGACAGGGCACAGCACCACTGGGCAAAGCTGGCCTCCACTCAGCCCTTCCACAACTTGTACAGGTGAAGAGGCGTGAGCAACAAGGCGTGGACTGCAGCTCTTGGGTTTCATAGGAACTGACTCTGAAAGTATTGTTTCCACTGTGGAATGAGGCAGCAAAGTTGAAGGAACACATCTGTAGTCATGTGGAGACCAAGGCAGAAACCTAGGCAGGCAGCAGTTTCCAGCTGAGCCTTTTCCTCTTATTCTACTTCTCAAACACAGCCTCCTGTCACTGCCGCAGTCCTTCACTAGCATTTTAAGATACAGACACCAAGACCTCATCCTGACCTTGCACCTAGCACACAGCAGGTTCTCCAAAGGCAGTACTCCAGGACCAGTGACACACCAGAGACCAACCCACTGTACCCATCCAGGTGTTTGCTGCGCAGAGAAACTCTTGACGGAATATTTTAGATATTTAAATCATGTTCTTATGTAAAGAACTGTTTTTTAGGATGCTCTCGATTTCTGTTATTCTTGACTAATAAAAATAAAGCACACTGTTCCACTTGTTTTAAAAGACAGCCATACAAGGTCGGTGGGGTTAGAGTATAAGTGCGGACACTGTATCCAGATGCCGGGAGTCAAGTGTTTCTACCCCATCAAGGGAGAGCAAGCCACAATAGGAATGGGGAGGGGCTTGGAATTCACAACTCTTCATTCTACAAGGTTGGGGCAAACAAGCTGTTTAGAACATGGGAAGATCTACAAACAGCAACAGCTTATTCATTCCAAGTTCACTATGTGGTTTTTTTTTTTTTTTTTTTTTTTTTTTTTTTTTTGTCTTTTTGAGACAGGGTCTCCCTGTAGGCCCAGCTGTCCTAGAACTCGCTATGTAGACCAGGCTGGACTTGAACTCACAAAGATCCGCCTGCCTTTGCCTCCCACGTGCTGGGATTAAAGGTGTGCACCACCACGCCTGGCCACTATGTGTTTTTAAAGTACCAAGTCATACACATTTATATATTTATGTAATTTTATATTTTCTTATTTAAAATAAAAATCTATTTTTTAATTTATGCAGGGCTTTTTGTTTGGGGGGGGGCAGCCCTAGGGTGGAACTCAGGGCCCCGTACATGCCATGCAGTGCCCTATCACTAAGCTGCTCCAAATTTATATATATATTTTTTGGTCTTTTGGAGAGAGGGTCTCCCTGTAGCCCCAGCTGGCCTGGAACTCACTATAGACCAGGCTGGCCTCCAACTCACAGAGACCCACCTGTCCCTGCCTCCCAAGTGCTGGGATTAAAGCGTACACCACCATGCCCAGCTCCCAAATTTATACTTCTAAAAAAATTTGCATCCTGGGTTACACAACGAATTCAAGGTCAGTCTGGGCTATTTAACAAGACTGTCTCAAAAATGGGCTAGCGAGCCATCTCAGCAGATAAAGGTTGTCACCAAGCCTGACAACCTGAGTTGGACTGTGGGGACCCACATGAGACAAGAAAAGGACTGCCTCCTGCAGGTTGGCCTCTGACCTCCATACCATGTGCTATGGTATGCGTGCCTCCCCCATAAATAAAATATAATTAAAATGATAAAAATTTTTAAAAAGATCAGCCATTTTAAACATGTAGGGTTGGCCAGGTGTGCTGACACACACCTTTAATCCCAGCACTCTGGAGACAGAGGCAAGGGGAATCTCTGTGAGTTTGAGGCCAGCCTGGTCTACATACTGAGTTCCAGGCCAGCTGGGACTACAGGAGACCCTGTCTCAAAAAAAGACCCCCCCAAATTTTTTTAGAAACCAATCAACCCATAATAAGTCACTTAAAAGTACACAGCACAAGACTTCCTGGTGTTCTGGCAACAGGGCAGAGGGAGGACTATTAGAGGGAACTAACAGGAGTCAATCCTAGCTGGGTGTGGTAGCTCACACCTGAAATCCTAGCACTTGGGAGGACGAGCCAGCTGAACTGTAGTCCAGTCTGGGTTACAGAGTAAGACCTCAAAGGAAAACAACACCATGAGCAAGTCCAGATGTCATGTACACAGCCTCTGGTCTCTGGGTACTGCAAGGGTCCTTGGTACCCACAGTACTCCTGCAGCGGGCAGCGTGAATGCCACACAGGACAAGGACCGACTACGGCTCTGCGGCTCCACGCTTTTCCACTCTTCAAGAGAAAGTTTGTGCAAAGTGGGAATGTGTGTGGTGGTTAGGGTTACAGCACTAAATGCAAACCCTTCTCAAATTAGTAACACAGTGAACACTTACATTTCTTGGTGTGTAACATCTGGTCCCTAGATTTGCAGTTTTTATTATGGTGTAAGTTTTAAAGTCTCCAGTTTTAAAGGAAATCAATCATGCTGAACTGGTTACCAAATTTCAGATACCTGACTTGAAACCTGACAAATTCCTAGTCTCACATTTTATAGCTAAAGGCAATTTTGCAAAGTTATCCTTTAATTCAACTGTAATGCAAAACCAAATGCCCTATCAAACTAGCTTTAAAAACCATGCAACTGGGGTTGGAGAGAGAGGTCAGTGGTTAAGAATGCCCAATGCTCTTGCAGAGGACCTGAGTTTGGTTCCCAGTTACCCATATGGGGAGCTCACAACCTTCTGTAACTCCAGCTCCAGGAGATCAGATGTCCCTAGCCCTCACTGGCACCTGCACTCATGTGTACATACTCCTAACACAGACACACGTGCATACACGTTATTAAAAACAAAAATAAAATTTAAAAAGCATACAACTGATATTCCAGAACACATGGTTCTCAAGTTCTAAGCTGCCACTGACCTTGGAACACATTACCTTGTGCACAGAAGTTCACAGAACTGTATAACTTGCCAGCAGCCCTTCTCCAGGGTCCAGATGCAAGTTGGTTTGCATTTGGTTTCAGAATTCTTAGGTACAAGTTGTTTTTTATATTTTGAAAATCTTAAAATAAAATTCCATGATAAGTGAAAGAAACAGAGTGCCTAACTCAAATACCTGACCTAGGGCAAGAAGCAGGCTGACAACCATGGGAAGCTGGTCTTCTGTTCCCTGTAAGCAGTCTGCGGTTTCTGAGTTAGGAGCTGAATCCCTGCTCTACTGCCTCTTAGCATTACAATCTTGGGCAAGTTGGTAAACGTGCCAGACCTTCATCTCTTCACCTGAAATATGGGGTAAGAGCAGCTCCTTTACGCTGTTAGGACTTGATACCTGAGACTGTGCCTAGGACATACTTGACACATCTTAATTCAGACTGAATTAAAGAGACAGACAACCCTCTAGCTAAACACCATCCTCATGCCACTTGTCAGCTTCAGTCTCCTGGAGCCCTCAGGAGGAACATGCTCTGTTCCACTGGATAAATGCTGCAGTAACACAACTTTACCTTGTGTGGAGACTACTGAAAAATGAACTCATTCCCTCATGTCATTCCTTACCCCCAGCTTGGCTTTCCAAGTAGTGAAACCAAGACCACATGGTGGCTGTGTGCCCACAAACTGCTCAGACATACCTGTGCTCCAGATCATGGACCGAGTGAGCGTCATTTCCTACTACTAGAATTTCTAGTAGAAAGCAGGATTCAAGTTCCAAAATGATTTTGTAAATCCTTTTTTGGGCGGGACACAGCTCATGCATCAACTAGGGTCTTCTATAAACCCATAGTTTTTTGCCTGTTTCCCCTTTTCTCCCTTCAAAAGTCAGTGCATGAGACATTCCCCACAGGCACATGATCTCTACAAAGACCACAGCCTGGCTAAGTAGCCAGACTGGTATGTTGTTCACAAGCCCACTAGGCCTTTGTGCCCTTCACGTAGATTTATAGATAGCTTAAACTGCCCGGAGTAAAAACTTCTGACTTGTGAAGGCAGTTTTTCAGCATTTGCCACAAAGTGAGGGGGGAGTGGCCCTGAAAGCACCTCTGGCTTTCCTGCTTCTGGGGGGCCTCTTGGGATCACAAGCTGTTTTGGGCATCTAATGACAGGCACAGACGAGCCTGTACATACAAAATTCAGAAGTCCAAACCCCTGAGGTCCTCCCTAGGTCAGAACTCTTGCTTTTTACATTGTACATTATTCTGTTAACCTAACTGCACCTACCATACGAATGCCAACAATCTGTGTAAAGATTGTTGGGAGGCCTCCTTCACCTCTGCTATAGTTTGGATCTTAAGTATTCAAAGGCCCAAGTGCTCAAGTCTTGGTCTCTGGGGAGACACTACTGAGAAGTATGGGATCTTTAAGAGGTAGGGCCTAGTGGGAGGTCTTTGGGGGTCTGATCTCTCTCTGCTCTCTGGCATGTGATGAAGTGAGTGTCTATCACACTGCAGCCATGATGTGCTGCCCTGCCAACTGAGCATGGACCAGAACCTCCCAAAAAGAGAACCAAAACAACCCAACTATAGAGGGAAAGGAAGGAGGCTCTTCAAGGGCTGGCACTCAGTAACCTAGATACCACATAACAGACTATCTGCCTGGGACACTTCTGAGACCACAGTGGGCACCATTAGCAAGACAAGAGGCGTGTGGTCAGGGTTGCCTTGGGGCACTAGGACACACAGGTACCCTGCAGAGGCCCTCACAGGTGTTCTGTGAAAAGGAGCTGGACTGTCTTCCTTCCCATGGGACATTCTGGAATTGTACTACTGGAGGCCACATTCAGGTGAACACCTTTCAGAAAATACACAAATCTATGTATTTATCAGAAGCAGCCTAAATCATACCTTTAGAGCAGGAATGCCACTGGGAACCAAGAAGTGGCGCGATCTTCACTCCTGCTCCAGGCAGGTTCCCTGTCTCTCTGGGCGCCAGTGTTCTGACACTAATTCTGAGTGCTACCCTATGCTGGGCACAGGGAAAGGAAACACATGTCCTAGTAAGCACAAACAATGAAACAAAGGTCCTCTGGTCCAGCTCAACTGACTCCCATATTTACAATCTTTGCTCAAGTACAGAATCACCCATATCATGGACTCTCAAAGGTTTAGAGCCAGCCTTCAGACCTCCCACCCATAACAGTGAACCTGTCAAGGGGACAGAATGACCAAGGGTCTTTTGCTGTGCCCTGCTCCCTGCTGTATGTGGCAAACCTGAAAAGTGCTTGCTGAAACAATACAATATCTCATTACTTGAGGAACTACCTGTTGTGCGTCAGAAAGACATACAAACAGTTGCCTAATTTGTAAAAAAAAAAGACCATAGCCCAGCTCACAGTTACCTCTTGCCACATCCTCCTCAGATAGGTCACTTTAAGGAACTGCTACAAGCCACCTAAAGTCTGGTCTGGTGAAGTGAGTTGCTAATGCAGGCATCACAATTTGTGCTCAAATATGGGGTGTGACTATTGAATGAGACTATTTTCTCATTGGCTTAGAGAATTAACTGGTGAAACAGGTGTTCTAAGGGGGCTTTGGCAAAAAGAGAAAAACCTCTGGGAAACTAATATAACAGCAATTCCTAAGTCTGCCAGTAAAATCCTGATTCATTACTTTAATAGAAAGGATGTTGAGTTTTTTCTTTCATGAGACACGGTCTTCCTGTAGTCCCAGCTGGCCTGGAACTTTCTATGCAGACCAGGCTGGCCTAGAACTCAGAGATCCACCTGCCTCTGCCCCTGATTAAAGGCATGCGCTAACACGCCAGCAGGATGTCAAGGTTGTAGACAGACACCATCCCAACGTGATTAAGCTCAACCAGAAACTCCTAGGTAAGGAGGTACTCACCCTGCGATGTTCTACAGATGATAGGGTGGAAAAGCTTTAAAGACGAGCAGCGCCAGAGCTTACCCGGCAGTGTTCTCAGGCGATTCCACAAAGCTCTTACAATGTTTAGGCATTCCCCACTAAAACTGGAGAGAAGTTCCAGGCTCTGGGACATTTTGGACTGGTTCAGGAGCTGGCTGGGCTTCACAGGTGCTCAAAAGACATTCTCAGGATGGGAATCAGCCTAGGTCCAGACCTACCCTGAGAATCCTAACCCCTGCTCTGGCTGGGATAGGCAATGTGATGGAGGTGAACCAAATGCCCTCTTCCATTTTCTCCAAATGGGTCTGAAGAATTATCTACTCTTGCAAATGAGTACTAAGCAAAGCTCATTTAAATGAATCACTGTGCCTGGTAAACTCAGCTGTCAGAGTGCACGGGAAAATTACATTCCTAGCAGGAGCAAGACTGGAAATCTCAAAGTTTTATCTCCTTTCAGCACCACAGCTGTTCGGCTACTTTACACCAACGTCTCGGCATCTCAGAGCTCCCAGTCCAAGGGACGAGGAGGTTACATTTCCCAAGACATCGGTGCCTCCCGGGGCACAACGAGCACGTCCAACCTGTGCACCCTTGAAGTTGCGGGAGCAAGATGCCGGAAGCTCCCGAAAGCTCAAAGTTCCCCAAAGCGCCCATCAGCGGTCCGGGCGGGCCTCCTCCCGAGCCGGCCTTTGTGGGCGGCGAGCATGTGCCGCTCCGCTCGAGTGGCCCGGAAGAGCAATGACAGCTTCAGGAGCAGCAGCTCCGCGGAGGCGGGCGCGGCGCGCGGGGCCGCCCGGACGTCCCAGGCCGCCGCGGGCTC